TCCAAAATTTGTGGTCATCTTACAGGTTTCTCTACGCAACGCGGATACGGTCTCCGTACACAGCATGCGGAGACCTCTTGTTCCTCAGAGGCCCACGGCCTTCATCACTTCATCGTCAGCCCTCGGCCCCTTGGGTCGATGGCAGCTCACTGGAGAGAATTACATCGATTCCGATCAGAGGAAGCGACATAGGTGAGTTCAATAGTCTTCTTGTATATATGTATTACGATCCATTTTCGATTCGGGAGCGATTCACGAATCCGAGCAAAATGGAGAAGGGAGACGCGGTGAGGCTTCACATCCGAAACAAGTTCGGAACCTTCAACCAAGCGGATAATTCATCACCGAAAGCCACAAGTTCATTATAATCGGGGACCGTGGAGCACGCGCTCTTGATGATTGAATGGTGACCTTCGGACCTTCGAAAAGTTTGCGGCTATAACCAAAGCTCGCTCTAAAAATCGATTCTCTATCAGACGCGCTCTTCTCCCGAAAATAGTATCGAGAGTTACAGCTCGGTATCAAGGCCATCTTGTTTATTATTACCATCGCAGGGACATCGGACGTGTTTTCTGTTCCGCGCACGCTTTGCGCTCGACGCGATTGCGCCCTCGGTCAAATCACGGAATTTCCCACGGCACGTGTGATGACCGACTGAGCGGCTTTTTGGACCTCCGCGCCCCTCAGCTCGTGAATCTGTCGTATGATGCCGGAGCAGAGACTCTCGACTCCGAGTCATTTCACGATGCTATGGAAATCGATGAGAGTGAACTCTGCGGAGCCTTGAGCCCATGATGACAGGGACCCTATCAAGGTCAAAGCCCCCATGTGGGAACTCGATCAGTGTTCGGCGAATATTCTGAAATCTCTCGAAGCACCCTGTAATAATCGTATCAGATCAGAAGCCGAGACCTTAAACGAGAAATTCCATACTCGATTCGACGGGAATCAGAGCCAGTGATGACAAACGACTGGTCTTGAATAGCGGTGTACGTGGTGCTTGGGAATCTACCGTAACTGTGATTTACGGCCGCCCGATGTTTCGGGTCATAGCTGCATGTTGGGCAGCAACTCGTCGTTCTTACCGTGAAGTTCCCCGAGCCGTCGTCCGGACTTCTCCCGCACGAGTTTACTCGGAGCGATTAACTGCCGATCTATCTGGATATTGACACCACTTACTCGGCTGAGGGGAACTAACGTTCGGAACCAACGAACTAAAGTCACCTCGTCAGCTGTCATGGGCGGTCGAATTCAGCGAGGCCAGAATGGCACAGAGGAGATGTCTATTTTGGTGAACTTCGTCCCGGGAGGCTACGCAGGGATCGAACAGATCCATCCCGCCGGGATCCGGAGGAGTTCGTGACGGCGTGAACGTATTGAAATGTGTATCTCGAGCTATGAATGGGTGCGACCGCTCTCGCTCTCGAGAGAATGAGCTTCTCTCAGAGTCTTTGCAATTTACGAAATTTATGACGTCAATGGGACAGATCCCTCAGTTGTCTAGACCTCCTCGAAAGGAGCGACCAAGTGTACTATCATCAGAATTCTCTGTAGCTCGGTAGGACTCCCGGAATATTTCGGCGACGAAACGAGGCATCAAAAGGTATCTATATTTCAGAGCTGCGATTGAAGGCCGTCGGGACGATCACATTGAAGTGACAAAAGAGAACCGTAGGGTGATGTACACTGGACCCCACGGTACATGGGAAACGTCGCATTCAGGCGAAAGTTCATCGACTTCATCGACGCCCAATTCATTGACTTCGTCGATGGCGGACGTGGAGAAACCTCTGAGGAAGCCGAGGGAGGAGAGAAGTACAGTATTTGACAGAACGGTGCGGATCCCACGCAAGAAGCTCGTTTTGGACGGACCACTGCACTCTACTTCGTATGCCCACTGGAACTCACAGGTGTTCCCCCGGCTTGAGTCAGACTGACTCAGCCGCCCCTTTGTATTACTGTACGCGAAAGTGCGATCTCTGGATGATTCGAGAGCAATAGGTCTCGAATCCGATCAGATAGCATACACGCCTCGATATCATTTCAACTCCTGTAAATACAACTGTCATGCAGTCAGGTCACTCCCCATCATTGAGTTGTTCCATACGAAGATTCGATCCCCTCTCTTTCGTGAAAAATTTTCGAGCGTGAAAAATTTGTCAGCCGCTCTGACCCGGCCGAAACGATTCCTCGGGGCTTAGCTTTCGCGACTTGCAGTCTGTTTCTTCCGCGGTGACGCTCCGTCACTACGCTATCGAATTCATTCCGATCCCACCCGATGTTACCGCTTCTTCGAAGCTATCGATTCACTGGATTATCATCATCATGGCTTACGCGGCGGGTTCCGGGCTCTGACCGGATGATCACAACGCTTTCTCTCCGGAGAAAGCTCGTTGATGGTCTCGCGAATCGTTCAAGTTATTGTGTAGACTCGAAAGACTCTTCTCTCTTCCTCACGGAAGATGAAGTAGATGTCCGGTGAGCTGGATGAGTCTGATTGACAGAGCTCGAACCGGGTGATACCTGGGTATCGCCTGGATGTTATCTCAGAATGGTTCGCGCGAACGAAAGTACGCTTCGAGACAGTCAGGAACTTGTATAATAGCTGAGCATCCTTGTGAATAAAAGCTCTCGCTCTTATCGCGGTATCCATTCCTTTTCTCAGTGAGTCGTCGGATTTGAACATATTTTTTCGCAAACTATTGGAGATGATTGGGATGCCCCGAAAGCAAGATCTTTGGCTCCAGCCCGCCGTCTCTAGTCTCTCCGGCTTCATGCTGATATTTTTCGCGTGAGTCGCAAGTTTCGAGTACTGCAAATAAAGGATCCAGTGTTTTCCTGTCGCTTTTGTGGGTCATGACTCATGAGGGTCAGCCACGGAGGGCTTCGTACGACCATTGAGAATCTACCCACTTTTGACTAGCAAGCATGACACGGGAAAACGCAGCATTCGGCTTGGGAAGTCCCATGGCCTGCAGTCTATTCTGATTCGAAAGCATCTCGCGACAGAGAGGATCACTACTGGGGTTGTAATTTCTCGCGGCGACTGCGGGATATACCCTCGATGGTCAATCGAATTTTTCCAAACAACCCACGGGGATTTCTTCTCTGATTGTGGTACATTTAGGCTCTTCGAATCGAAGCTGTCTACGGAAAATCTCCTCTACTCTTCGCTACTCACTGATGGGGAATATTTTCGGGCTCAAGCGGAAATCTGACCTGGTTCTGAGGCTTGGTTCACCTAAACAGCTTATCTTCAAAGTCCGTGTTGATGACGCTCTATCTTCCTCTCCACCATCAATCTGACTGACATGTCCAGCAAGGAGGCTCCCTATACAGTAAAAGCTCGTTATAACGACCCCCATTACAGCGAATTTCTCAGTACAACGAACAAGGAATTTCTCCTGCATTGGCCAGCTCGCCATAGGGATAGTGTTGAGCGGCATTCGACCGAGCGAAAACTCGGTACAACGAATCAGTTTCGTCGGTCCCTTCGTGTCCGTAGTAACGAGCTTTCACTGTATCCCTCGATCTAAGTAATCCGTACCAGATATAGGCCAGTACCGGGCATCATGCCGAGAGGGTACTCAGCAGATACGGGACTCCAGTGAGAAAGGAACCCGGCCTAGTAAGAGACGAAAGATCCCTTATAGGCGAGATTCCAGTGTATATCCCCCGGCAATCCACTTGCTTGTGCAACAATCGGCCTATGATCCCTTGGTCATCAAAAAGCGTGATACTCACGAAGAAGAGGAACCTGCCCCGGTCTCAAGGACGAGGATTGCCCCTAAGGGCTCGCCGCTCTATGATGGATACGGAAATCGCTCATCGGTGCCACCCCGAACATCGGGGAGCACATCTACAGCAACGTCTCTCTAGCTAGATGCCTCGCAAATGACGTACGTTTTCGAATGTCTCAGTTTCGGAACCTCAGGATTCTTACGCGGGCTATATTACTCGCCAATCTGTCTTTCTTGAAATTCTCTACTCTTAGGCCTTCTCGTATCCCTCGAAGGACGTTCCGCTCCTACTCCTTTCGCCGTGAATATTCCCCCCTACCTCATGAAAAATCGCTCATACAGCAGTCATGAGAATTGGTCTAGCTTTTATAGAGAAGAATTGAAAGGCTTGAGACCGAGTCCAGCATTCTGCCCCTGATAGTGATGACATTCAAAATTAAGCTGGGAAGGGTTCTCTCCTTTTACGATACAAAAGCACAGAACTAATGAAGAGTCCCTCTTACACAGAGATATCAATTTAATTACTCAACTTTGTCATTTGCAAGTCTTTATCGATATATAAAAGAAAATACAGATCGACTTTTCTGTTCCATGTGAAGTCATTCTTTTGGTTTCCGCAAGATCGCTCAATTCCGTCATTCGCATAAAACTACTGTTTTTACTTGACTTGCATCGATCGTTTTAATACACCGAGTATTTACATATCAAGTGTTACATCACCTTTCGCTTCACGTTCGCAAACACGCATCCACTCGTTACGTGTACGTAATACAATTCCCTTCCATGCCAGTCTCTGTACAGAGGGATTCTCATTGCACGTTCTCCGACACTGACACGCACCGTCTCTATATTTCCCGTAGTCCCGCTCATCTCTGTAACATCTTCCTACGGTTACCCTGCTCTTAGGAGCGATGTCGTTTGTGTTCAGACTTTCCGACAAAACTCCGTCAAGTTCATCAAACATTCAGGCTTCGGTCTGTCACTAATCTAGCTATTTACAGGGGCTCCAAACGATACATATTTCCTTTCTTTTTTACAACTAAGTCTGGGCAGGTTTACCTTCACATTTTTGTCTTGAAAGGTCAGAAAGTTGTGAAGTAGAATTTTCTGCGTCATCCGGCGGAGCCGGAGATGATCCGCGGAATCAATACTCAATACTTGGGTTAATACGATCGGCACAGAAAGGTGACATGGTGGCCTCTCGAGAACGTCGCATAACTAGAGCCGGCTATGGGAAAACCCTCGGTTGTGTGGTCGTCCTCAACAATATCGCTTCAGGGTTCCAGCCCTGTATTTCGCCTCGATCATTCTGAGTCGATTCACCAAACTGTGGGCCGATGAGTCGCCGAGAGTGCCGCCCTCTCGATCTTCTAGAGCTGTCAACAATTGGGTATTGTACTTTGCCGCGTATATGTACAGCTCTTTCAGCGCATTCGTGGTGTCGACCTGGGAGGCGTATTGCTGAAAACGGAGAACTCGATTAATGTAGCTCGGAAAACTCAGATTTGAGGCTCATCATCCACATGGCTCGGATAAGTCTCTGGCTCGGGACTCCGAATCAGGACCGAGGCTCATAATTACCCCAGAGAGTTGTCTCATGTAGTGCGCGAGCTGATGATCGCCTACAGGCGGGAGGCTGGCGATGTCGCGATAGAAATTGTCTATCAGTTTGCGATACTGAGGAATGTCTTTGGCGAACAGCAACTTCGATGACGGGGAGTTCTTTCCGAGTCGGTGGTCCGACTGCGCGCAAGCATCCATGAACGATTGTGCTATCACAGACAGAGACGCGTCCAAAACGGGGCTCTTATCGATATCGAAGACGAAATCGGGGTTCTTCAAAAGGTTCACCCAGAACCGCAACGGCAGCGAGTTGCTTTTCCACGCTTGTGCTACCTCCTCGGAATTTTCCAGACCATGCTTATAAGCGTACGTATCGAATAGATCGAACAGCCACTTCACTGCCAGGGGCAATCCTTCAGAGGCGGCTAGGATCGAAGCGAAGAAGTCGTCGACGAAGTTCTGAATTGTGCCTTTCGTAGACAGCAGTCTGGTGAGATAAATTTCGGCGATGTTCTTGTGCCTGAGGGGATTATCGTTAGGGCGCACTAGATGCCAACAAGAGCTCGGATCTGCGTGGAGATTATTGATCCGGCTCAAGGTCTCGTAGTTGGAGTTTCTCCGCATGATCGACACGACCGCCGTGTCTGTGATGCCGTAGTGGGCCAGAGTGTTAAACCGCTTGAGGCCATCCTGACACACCGAGCTTCCATCGACGTCGGCTAAGAGGAGCGGAGCAGGACCACGACCGTGACGCCACTCTGCAACAAAGCATCTCCTTATTCCCCGAGTTACGCGATCGCATTCTCCCAAAAGGATGAAATATTCAAAAGGAATACCAGTAAGAGGGATGGCTGCCAGAACATTCGACCATGAAAGGAACCTCAGTGCGTAGGACGGCTTACCAATGTCAACAGAATAAATGTTGGGTCTCTCGGAGAAAGGCACGCTTTTGAAAAGGACGTCGAGGATCTTCTGCTTCACTTGGGAAATCGTGTCGCAGTCGTTGGCGCGCACGATAACCTTATCGTCAGCGTCCATCTCCTCATGGAGCACGTGTAGGATGACGATGTTATAATTAATCTGCTCGCGGAGCAGTCGTTCCTCGGACAAAGAGTATCGCGCGTCGTGGGTCACCGCATCGACAGGACCCTTCTCAATTTGCTGCTTCAGAGCTTTCAACAGAAGGAACATCGGTCGGGCTGAAGTTTCTACGATGTGTTGGTACATGCATACCGATAACCAGTTTGAGAGCATTTTCTCCACAACTGACTCCGTTCTGAAAAGGAACTTTCCTCTTGAACGGATTTGTACTGTCGTGGAGACGAACTGTTGGAAGGAATGCTTCATCGTGCGTCGGGAGCAAATCCGATTGCACTCACCTCCGGAGCATCAGCTGTGGATGTTTTGTTTGGGCGTATTTGTCAATCAGTTTCACTAGGAGTTCTTTCAGCACCCTGAAATCAAGCGAGGCATGAGAAACGGGAGCCGTGAAATCGGAACGGGACAACGAGCAGCACGTGATCAGCCCAAAGGCGGCATTCGGGAACATGGGGAACGTAGGAAACTCACTCTGTGGCGTAGTCCATTTTATCGATGAGAATCACCATCACGAGGGAAGCAACATTAACCCTGGAAGCACGCGCCTCTTCCATTAGACTTTACTCGTTGATTTGCGGTTCGCCATATGCCAATGATTCAATTATGACGCTCATGTATCGAATGAAGCTTCTGACTTACTTATCCCGAATAGAGAATGTATTCTGACGTTCTAAGGTTTCCACGAATGTTAGCAGAAATGCCTTGTTGTTGACGAGAATCTCAAAGTTCGCCATAGCCACTTCGTAATTGTTCGATGCTCCGTTGTTCATCGGCTGTGGAAGGGGGTATATAATTAGAACGAGAAAATCTCCCCCGACGCCATGCTCCGGCGCGGCGAAGTGTCCTGGTCTATTATGGCTCTCGAAGCGAACGAGCGCTCCGTAATCCATGCATTGACAACTTTTGGTGTCGGACTTTGTGTTCTGTATTGGGGCGAGGGGAAGAAGAATTTCCCGATGGGAGAGTATTTTCAACTGCGACAGGAAAGCTGTCCCTATCGCATGTTGATTTTTTGGACCGATTCGAGCGCTCAATTTTTCGCTGGCAGAGTGACTTCTGGATAAATCAAAAATATCGGACTCTTCGTCACGGGTATCATGGTCTCTCGCTCATGGGCTCGGGGATCGACGCCTCTCGGATAGAGTCTCCATGATCGATTTTGGAATTCCCGCATGCTCTAAGGAACCGCTGGATGTACAACTTGGAATGAATCCGCGCTTACTTTGATGAGCTGGAAAACGTTGGTATTCGGCACCCCGGGGAAGAATATTTTCTCCAGATAACGAGTATTGTGCAGGATCGGTATCCCGCTGAGTTGTATGTCTTTATCAAGATCAGTGAGGTCTGTTTGGAGCTCTGCGAAAGCTTGTTTACACTCGGAGCGCACGGAGTTCTCCAGAGTCGCCATCTGCAACTGAATTCGCTTGTACTCGCGCTCCGCCTGGGAATTCTTGTGGCGGAGCAACGCGAGCACGAGAACACTTATCAGGATCAGGATAGCACCGCCTGCAATCAGAAAATATCTTATTCAGCATGCACGGATACGAAATCGGTATTGGATTCTGCATCGCAATTCTGGAATGGACCGGACGAGTTTTCTCTCCGCTGACGGCCACGTTCACGCCCGGTAAGGAGAGCCCTTCCTCACCTGTCGCAATAACACCCATGATTTCCGGAGGCAGGTTGTATAGCTTGGCCATTTCGTAACGTAGGAATCCGATGGTGTAGATGAGGTTCGATCCGATTTGTACCACCACTTTGGGGAGGTGCGTCCGCCTCCCTTGATGATCGGTCGGAGCAGGGGCGTCGATCGAGGGCATGCAAACGATTTGTGTTTGCGACAAGGAAGTTACCTGCGTGAGACGAAGGAGCGGGTACTGTGAGGCGCTGAACTCGATGGCGAGCTCGTCGATCGAATGGATAGTACTCACGTTGCACTGTCGAACGCCAATGAAGACAGTGATTTCATTCTGATCGCTGGCTGACATCAAATTCTCTCCTTCAATAACGAGTGTGTCTCCCTTGTAAAGCTTGACAGAATCCGGTTCTCCGAAAGTGAATAGCACTGGATCTCGTATGTAGGTTATAATCGAAGGCACCTGGGGCGAGAGAAGGAAGAGTGAGCACCGAGCTGCGCTCGTATGAGAACGTTTCCACACGATCAAAATTCATATTCCCCACTGGCTTACCGTCGGGAAGAAAACATCCATCTGACGCAACTGGTCTACTTGATCCATAATAAATCCGAGCTTGAGATGTTCTTCATAAGGCGAGTCGAAGCCGGGTTGGTCGCTTTGGTGGCTCGGATTCGAGCCCAAAAGAAACGGAGATGGACACAGCATCAAAGTCGAGTTGACAACGTTGCATGTCTGCAGAACATTATTTATTATTCAGCGATTTCATCACCGGCCGAAAGTGCGTCATCTATCGGGCGTGCTAGCCATATTTGAGAGTCTGCGACGTTTCAGTCAAAATTGAGCATGCATACCTAGCGAACCGAGCGCTGAGCATCGAGGGCAAAACACGATACGCGGCAGTGAATCGCTCCGATAACCCTCGTCGGTGCACCGATACTTCCGAAGCCCGTAATAACGTTCGATTGGTTCTCGCAGTTCCGCGGAAGGATCAGATGGTATGAGCAGTATATCGAGCTCATGAATAAGGATTGTCACATCCGCCCAGTGCAATGATGATATCAGTGTATAATGTCGGTCACGTATTGATTAAAGCCTTTGTCGAGAGCGTCAATATTATCCGCAATCAAGGAGTCCGCCTCCCGACGACGCTAATCCCTCAGCCTGAGCAAATCAGCGAGGAATGTGACACAGCGAAATCGTGACTTCTGTCTCCTTCTACGAATGGCTTCTCGGCAGAGACTTGCGACGAAATTGACTCTATCAGAGAAAGGATGGCCTAAGAAAGGGCTGTCTACAATGTGCTGCCACCGCTGGCTTATTACCTCCGTGCATATTTGGCACTGATTGGATCCGGAGCCGAGAAGAGCTGCTTGTGTCCAATAACTTGTCCATCCATCGCCCAACTGCTCATTCCCAACACATTCATTCATTCGTGATTTCGGAACGGGCCAAGTAGCAGCCGTTTTTGCCGCGAACAGCATCCAAGGCCTTAAGTAATGGTTTGCAACACTCCGTCATTGCCTCGCCCCCAATCGGAAATTCCCTCATAGACAAAGCCTCGGACTTTGCCTCCGGTTTTTCCAAAATTACAGATTTCCTTGGGAATAGTTCTTACGAACGAGTCTTCTGGCCTCTCGGATCCTCATCCGGGATAGGGATGATCCCTGTCGTCTTTTGGCCCACCGGAATGGGCTATTAGCTTCTATGCAAACCATTCCGCGTGGAAGATACACTCACCGTCTCGTTGATTAATTTCTCCTGCTCATCGAAAACGGCCATCTTCGGTTGCTGCACGGAGTCTAGATACTCTCCACGAACGAGAATTTCTCTACCGCCACTGAGGTAACTTTTCAGCGGGTGTATATCGATGATGTTCGGGTCTTGAACGAAAACGAAAGGGTTCGCCAACGTGTGGTTGGCGTTGTCAATCGTCAAGAGTAATCTTTCAACTTTGTAATTATAGAGGGGTGCCCTCGAGGTGCGACAGCTCAGTTGACTCGATGATGCCAGAGATCTGGAATTAAATTCGGTGAGGATTTAGAATCGGCGGAGAAATTATTGTCGCGGCGCAGCTCGACGGCGCCGGCACAACGAGCGCATTTCCTCCCTCAAGATTCGCATGTGTTCGTTGTCTTGGAGCGACGGCGTTCGCTACCCACCTTTCCACCAGACAAGGAATGTCATCCAGCATAACCCTAACGCTGCTCCCCACGTTCAAGTTGGTCCCATTCAGATAGATCCTGGTTCCTCCGGATTGGGGTCCGACACGGGGGTAGACGCCCGTCAGTTGCACCTCCTGCGACAAGAATAAATAGTCAGACTGTGGTGAACGACGGTCATGAGTAGACTCTCAAACTCCAAACAGACACTCGGCAGCAGCCCCGCTTGTTAATCTCACATCAGTCACCCGTATTTGAATTCTTGAGTTCAGAGAAAGTGTTACGCATGTGATCACGCAAGCTGCTTGGAATTCACAAATGCAACAATGGCTAATGGAGAGGAGGCTCCGACAAAGCGCGGTCGACGGAAATTAGAACATCGCAGCGCAACATTGTCAGCGATCAGTTTCGACAAAATATTTTGGAAACAAACGCAGTAGTGGATTGATTCCACAACTCCGGAAGCCCAACAGGAAACAGCGACCTCTGGACGCATCCGGTATTTATAATCGGGGAACACGCTCCGTTATCGATCATTCTTCTGACCGAGCGGCGTATCGACTGCTTGATGTAAATACCATTCGTTCGCTCAGAAAAGCGATCGAGCGATTGGCTTCGACCCTACAGTTGTGGCTGCAACATGTTCCTCGAGACGCACATCGAGTACCCGTCGGCACGAATCACAGCGATTACGGCAAAGGGCGATCGACTGAACCATTCTCCTCTTACCATCCGTCGGGCAGTGGGAAGCCGGGTCCGGCGGGATATGAGAACCTCGTTCCTGCCTCCCCTGGGCACGCACCCGTTCAGCGCCTATAGCTCATTCATGGGCCCAAAATCGACATCTCTACCAGGCCCCTCCCAGAATTTCGAGCCCACGAAGCCCCTGATGATTTGAGCTGTAATGAACGCTCTTCATCTACTTTTCGCGGATATAATGATAACGATGACCTTCTCGAGATGAGTGAGCCGTCGAGTTCGTGCGGCAGGATGAGCATCAACCTACTGCTCGACTATAGACCCATACTGAAGCCTCAGCGAATCCACCCTGGCTCACGGTCCACTCTGTTGGCCGAAATGCTGCACACGACAAACTCCTATCGGGTTGAGTGATCATCGTCCGCGACGATCAACCGACCCAACTCACGAAGGGGCGTCCTATTTTTCCAGCGCGTAATTCGCTCTGTGTCAAGATAGCGTCCAGAGCCCGAACGGAACTCGCGGCGAAGTCGGACAGACGTTATTTTCTCGTCACGTCCATTGACATCGTTGAGTACTCGTCGTGAGACGTCCTACCGAGAGGGAGGGGGCGCGGGCGTCACGACTGAGAGCCAACCCTTAAATGGCGTGAATGGCTTATTTTATACTGCGGGGCATTTTATCCGAAAAACGACCGTGCTACGACGCGAAAGCGGACCATTTCGAATATGCGACGTCCTCCGAGCGTCTCCTATTTCTGGCGGACTCAGTCGGGCCGCTCTCTGTCACAACCGCATCCGAGTGCGGGGGGGGGGGGGGATTAGGGACCCGATGGTGCCATCGGAAGTTTCGAGTTGTTCAGTAGAAAAATCGCTACAGACTTATATGAGTTCCCTCCTCCTCCAAACACTGCTGCCCGTCTACTCCAGAGCATTTCGGTAGGAGTAGCGGCGGAGGCCGATCGCTCCTCCTCAATCTGGCCCACTATTCCATCAAGAGCGCGAAAATTGAGTTGACGAACCGTCTGCTGCAGTGCCGGCCTCGCTCACGAAAACGAAATACTCCACAGCTTGCGTGTATCGCTCACCAGCCGCGAGACAGCTGAACCAGATACGAAGACCAGGGCTCCGAGGACCGATCACTTCCGGCCCACGCCCATCTTTTCAAATTATTCTCATCTGAATGCATCCGGATCAGGAATTTCAGAGGACGGAGATTGCGAGCAATCCGATGCCAGATAATCATGAGCCGTACCTCTGACAGGGAAGATGCGCTCCGAGGAGCAACACCTTCTTTGCACCTGTTTTCAGATTGGCAGAGCTCGAAGGAAATCGTCTCGCAGCGATGGGCGAGCGGGAGCAAAACCGCAGTCTTCGAGCTTCTTCCAGTTCCTAAGGCGGAAAACCCGCAATTTCGGGAAAATTCCGAAGGTGGTCATCAAGTGGTAGCGGTGGCGGCGCCTCCGCCGTCTCTGCTTCTCGTCGTCGTATCTACGTTCGTTTAGAACCTCTCGCTTCTTCAACCGAACACTTCTTATCGAGCAGTATTCCGAACCGCTTGGTTAGCGCTTGATTCCATTGGAAAATTTGCCCCGACAATTAAGTGAATACAGCGCCGAGGGAAGGGATCCCCCTCTTTTCCCGATAGGGATGAGAGAGCGAGGAAGGGACTCGCGGCGCTCAAGAGAGATTCCATGTGGGCAGTAGAGAAAAGCAGGTCGACGGCATCGCTCGCAACGGAGGCCGGTCCGTGGGAGAAACGCCGCTGCTGCGCGTAGAGTCACGGGCAGTCAGTCTAATATTTTATGTATCGCGTCTCGACGTATCAATAAGCCGAGTAAAGTTGGGGAGCGACTTTTGACGCAAGAAGTGCGAAGTGTGGAAAACGTACTGCATTATTAACCACGAGTGTCCGTGCTCTCGCTGCTATTTCTCTCCCCTGTTGCCGAACACAGCGGGCCCAGTGAGAGGGTGCGTTCTGATTGACGAGCAAAGTTTCGAAACCCACTCCACACACCCGCCAGAGGTGACAGCCGTAGAACTCACTCATTCGCGAGAGGTCGAGGACTCCAGCTAGCCCGGCCGTTTGCTCGCAGGCTAGCCGGTCCTCCCTGCTGCCGCAGCCGCCGTGACTGGCGCCTAGGGATCACCTGATGATTTGAGTGTGATGTGACCGGCGACACGATTCGCACACGGCACTTACTTACAAATGCTCCGGGAACCAAAGCAGAAACTTTTCCAAGGCCGATCGGTGATCTAGGCAGATCGTGGTGCCTATGGTAACTCGTACCATTATCCACATTGCACCGAACTTATTAAGAGCCCACGCAGCCCAAATCCGACTATATGAACGAAGAGACAGCGCAAGCCGTCGGAAGCGCGACATGCGAGCGTCGACAAATGAACAAAGTATGTTCTGTGTGATCTAAGATAATCATCGGGCCGCTTCGGCGGTTCATGTACTCCTTCTGGTGTAATCAACCGAAAATAAATTCGTACGTAGAGCAAACAGCAGACGTTGTTTCCACTTGTTCTCTCGACAGGTCGGGCCGACTAACTCTAGGGGTTCGTCGGTACACCCTCACGCACAATAGTGCTTCCGAGAGGGGCCAAGGGGCTCCACTAGTTACTACTAGCCCTAGAGCCCTTCGGGTCGTTCGCCCGCTCGTTCGTTCACTCGCTCGCCGCTTCGGTCGTTCGTCCGCATACTCGTTCGCCGGCCCCACCCATTCACTGCCCTAGCATTGTTGCTAAGCTTCGGAAGGAATTTCATGTATAGCCAAGTAGAGTGGTGGCCGACTAGCGGAGCGGACGACCAACCCTCGTTCGTTTCCCGTGGGAACAAACTTAGATCGCTCAAGAATCTATTGTATGTCCGAACAAATTACCCGTCCGGTATCTTGTTCCCCGGAAACACTATGTGAGCACAAGGCAGCCGGGGTTGTCTTTAAACAAGCGTAGCAGTGCAAACGATAGCCTTTCGATTCTTCCCCAGAAGAATGTACGTAGTAGTTTTTCCCGCTTCCCGAGTTCGGAGCTCTGTTATAACCCCACAACTCGGCTGCCACTCCGTATAATGATCGTAGCCTGTATTCGAAACAATCATTTCACGGGGAGTTTCCTGAATCACGAATAAGTAGAAGTGTGCGATAGTTGTTGTTGTTCACATCTCGAGCTTTCGAGGATTCGATCGGGGACCGTCGTCGGAGGTCGGCAGAGAGCTCTCAAGGAGCTGGCACTCATCAGATAGAGACAGAGGGAAAGACGACGACGACGACGAGGTTAGGCGCGGAAGAAAAGAAAATAATTGCGTTATTTCCTTAGTCGGCTCGACTTGCCCAGCACTTGAGCATATTAACCCTGGGGAGTCAGGTATGTAGTCCCAGGCCATCTCTTTCCTATCACTCCGTCTTCCCGGTCGTCTTCCCAATAAGTCGCTCGGTCTCCCTCTCTGCATGAAAGTACCTATGCAACGAGGAACAACGGGGGTGTGAGAGCCGCACCAGCGAGCAGGACGAGTCATCGCGCCGCCACTCATGAGAATGATGATGACGATGTTGATCACCTTCAAATATCGATGATTGAGAACCCGACGTTGTTATCTTGATGCCGATATATCCCTCGATCGGAGACGAATATCTAACATCGAACCCCTCCAACCCGACGACGACGACCACCACCACCATCCTCTCGCGCTTCAGTCTCGTCGAGGGATGAAGAGGATAGTCTCCACCGAGGGCTTAGCGAGAGCCCGGAGGAGAAGCCGAGCGCGCGACAGGAAAAGATGTGGGGAGCGAGAGGAGAAGGAACTCCGACTTATCAAAAGATATTCAACCCCAGATATGAACGATGATGGAGGTAATTTGAAGTGACACACTCGCTGTTCGTACGATATGAGCAAACTTGTTGAGGCGGAGAATGAAACAGACGAGACCACAGGACCCCGGGACAAAAGTTCGTCGGAGTCCCTATCTTTCACTGTGGAGCATCCTCACGAATCGAGGAAAGTACGCGGTTGATCTTCAATTTTGAGAGATATTATGTTTTTCGGAGTGCTATGAAGTCGCGACCGGATCCCCGATCGGACATCGATAACCGAAAGTTTCGCTCGTCTCGGGATGAAAACTTCGACCGAACCCTGAGCGTGTGGTTTAATTCCCCGACAAGCTCTCTGAAAGAGCTAATAATTCATATCCCGGTTGCGTATGAGCCCTCGTTCGACTCTGTATGCGCTGTTTGCTTGATTGATAGCGCTGAAAATCCTCTCGGTTTTCCTCCATTTGCCGTGTCGGGACAGCGTCAGCGTACGACCCAGGCGGTGATTATATCCCGCGCCTTGATGGAGAGTAAGCCGTTCGCTGTGACACCGCCACGAGGCTTCGAGAAGCCACAAACTTCAACAAAGCGGCTCCAGAGTGATCGACTGCGATGATTCCTCGTCATGGAACTTTGGCCATCACGTTGTTTCTGTGTATCATTGGATTCTCCCGTTCGAGCAGCGTTCGCCCCCCACGGAGCAGATTCTGTAGGGGAGGGGAGGGGGGGCGCGAACTTGCAACAATGGAACGAGATCATATGGTCAATCACGCGCCGTCATTGTCGCCCTTCTCGGTGCTCATTCATTTCTTCCGAACTTTCATGACTCACGCGCCTCGGAAAGAGAAAGCCGGAATATTCCTCTCCGAGTCCGTGGACGTTGGCGCGATGGAGCAACAGGAAACCACATGAGGGAACCGATGGAGGGCTCAAAAGATCTGGTCGTCACTACTACGAGGCACGTCAAGAAGCTTTAGGGGAACTATGTTTCACATGTAGTAGCATACTTTCGATCCGCTGTCCTCCCACGCTCTCCCTTCTCCGCATCGCTCGCTGCCGCATCTGCTCCATGCGCTCTTATCTCCGCTACACCCTCCCAATAGAAGTCAACTACGTTGAGGAGCGCGACACGAAATTGTTCCTGACAGGGAAGACAAGCGTTCTGTGTCGGCTGTGGGAGCTGGCTGCGCCGCCCCGCTTCCAGATTCTCAAAACGAATGCTCCGAGCCGGCGACTTCGTGCGGGAGCACAGCGTGGGTCTCGTCAAGTTAAGAAAACACGAGGAGACATCCAGTGGGAGGGGTCCTCTCATTAAAGTCTGTATTCCCTCATGCACGGTTGACGGCTCGTTTCAGGAGAAAGCCAGCGAGATCCGCAGTCAGGCTCAACTTCCGAAACACGGATGGCGACAATCAGGCTTTTCACTCGTCCATCTCTTGCTCGACGACCATCCGCTTCCGGCTTGCCACGTCTAACTCCGGTAGAATTCCAGAATGAACTGTTTGCAGTTTTGCCTCCTCCGTCGGGCACTAGTCATTTTGGTCGGCATTCAGAGGCTATTCCGAGAAGATTCGGAATACAAGAGAGCGGATCGACGAGGAGTCGTCGTGGAGCTCTCGAACTCGAACACTTGAGGAAATTCCTCGTTCGAGAGCCGCGACTCCCCTCGGCAAAGAACTGAGTGGGTTCTGCGACGATCGGGAGTGCGTGGGTTTGCCAAACGCGGCGTTCTCTGAGTTAGACCGTCCCGCGGGATGATCGGCGTCCCGATCTTGTTGCACTGCGCTTCAGGCCAGACCCCTGACAGGTTAGAATGAAGGGCGATCCCGCGACTGAGCGACACATAGTGTCCAGTTGCTCGAGCCGGCAATCTCGACAAACATAACTTCAAAGCGAGAAGGTGAAATGAAGAAGCCGATGAAACTCGACACCTCCACGCTCGCTCACCCGCCCGCGCGCCCGTCGGGAGGCTGCCAGACGAAGTCCCTAATCCCCGGGCAATTTTGCGCACCGAACCCGCACTGTCAGTTTCGTCCCGGAACGACGAGAAGTGAAATCTGCGCCAGTCGCCACAACCAATTTCGGAGCTCAGAGAGAACGCGAAAGAATTTCGAAAACTTTCAAATCCTCCCCTGGTAGTCCCAACAACGATTGCTATCTCTATTAGTGCGTGCCATCAGCAACGGTGGAGAGCGGAACGAGACACGCCGTGCCGTGGAGAACGGCGACGAGCTAAAACAGATTCTTTCGCACGTGAAGGAAACTCAGCCAACGAGTCTCACTCACTCACTAATCATCGTTGCCGCACCGTGATTACGTTGGGGGAGAATTCGGCGGCGATGAGCTGACGACAGCGCAAACATAGAACGAGACCTGAAGGTCGCTCTCGATCTCAATCCAGCGTAGGATCGGAACCAGAGCCCATGAGATATCCGTCTGTGGAAGATTTCCGTCAGATCAGAACCTGAGATCCGAACTGCGATAGCCTGAGAAGCGCGTCCCGCCCGGATCCGAAAACACTAAATTCGATATCACCGGAAGATGGGAACCGAATTATCGTGAGGTCGAACTGCGATTGATGTGAGCTTGAATGAGGATCATGACTTCAGAATCCCCCTCGGTTTCCTTCATCGTCGGAAGAATATCCCGCCATCATTATCCCAAACAGCGCATTGATTGGAAGCCCGCACTGGTTGCGCGCGAGGAACCTGCACTGTATGGGCTCAAACAAGTCGCGATTGGCTAAGTTGGGAAACTAAGTCCTAAAACTCATCATACACATACTCGCGCACTCTCCAACTGCTAAGACAGCTGAATCATGCCACCCGGAGGAGATTCCTCCCGGCGCAAACTCCGTTCAAGTCAGTCGACAACTCACCTTGTAGTAGAATTTTTCCTGAGCTTTCGTTAGTCCTGCGCGGTTTCCTATGACTACGAAGGCGCCCTGGGGCCCTGCATTGCTGGCCTGGGTTTGACAGACGACTCTGACGCTCACACTGTAGTCTTTTGGCAGGCAGGGCACTCCTCCGATTCTGATTTTGTCGGCGATCTCGTCCTGAGAGGTTCCCAGATTCGAACCTTCGATAGTGACCAGGGTACCGCCCTCGACTGGACCCGAGAGTGGATGAATCTGAAAAATGCAATATAGCTCAAATCAATCGTTCCGACGACCGAGCTTTCAGTATCACGAAAAACCGAACAAAATCATTTCTTCTCTCAGGAGACGACCTCTGATCGCGCAAACCTATTATGACTACAAGCAGAGCTCTCGTATATCCCTCGAGCACAATTATTGGAAAGAAGGAAGCAGAATTGATTGGGCGTTCCGCGTTATTACAACTCTGCCGATGACTGCCTATGGCGGCTGCATATCTGAAGTAGCGTATGTGTGTGTTCACTTCGCGAATGAAGCAATACACAAAAGCAATCGTCCAGTATGGTCGTCGTCGTTGTTGTTCTTACGTGCGGATTCGGAATACAATCGGCCGCCTCGATCTGAGTTCATTTCCTGAGCTCATGCACGTACGAGCTCATTCAGCTCGCCTGAAGTCGGTACCGGCGGGCAGAGCGGCTAACACCGTCTCACGGAAGAAGAAACATTCATCTCTGTCGACTCGGCTCGACTCCACGCGCTGCAGAAGCGGCTACATACCTCTTGGTTGGCCTCAATCGCGGACTTCATTAAGGTAAGTAGCCGCTAGCTCAGGGCTTCTGCCCCAACCCACAACTCCCATCAGCTCCTTGCGCTCCCCTTTTAACTGGTCGGCTTTTCTTCCGCCTACTCCTCGTCTGCTCCGACTGACTCCACGCTGTGCTTCGGGTCGACGAAACATCTACACCCAGCCGATACAACGTATACGCATCGTTGAGTGAGCCGTCCGTAGACGCCTCCAGAAGTCTTCCCTATTTCATACCCGAAGGTGATTCCGGCCTGTATACCGTGGCCGGAATGATGAACCAGCCAGCGTTAACGGTCTGATGCTCCGGAGCTCGTTGACTTGGACCGCCCGGAATTATTCAGCCTCTATTTCTCACCGGAGCCGAATCATCCACGATGCCGGCGTGGATGCTGATCTTCATGAAACTCATTATGAGTCTCGAATTCCATGACTCGAGCTCGAGTTCTACGGGGATTCGCCGATCGGGTCCGGCTCTCCCGGCTCAGGTCGTTTGGATCCGCGGAATGATGAACGCCTCGGATTCGAGGCCGAGAGTCACGGCTGAAGATCCTCAGAGCGCTGACGACAGCGACTGGAGGACATTTATGGTTCAGGCGGCAGTTCTCATTGGGCGCGGACTCGGAGAGCTGACAACGCTCGGGAGCGATCTCATTAAGATGGTCCGTGCTCTCGAAACGGTGTCGCTTCTTCAGAGCCAACAACACGACCCCTTGTCAGACATTTAGGCCAGCTCACGTATACGTTCAATCTTCTGCTGAGGGAAGGGTAGCTAGCTTCCTTTTCCGGCGCACCACTTCGAACACAACTCCTTTGCGAAGAAGCATCGTCGACGTTGACACATCGCACAGTCTTTCCCTGGTTTTACTGCACGATTCTCAACCCCATCGCTCATCTCCAATGTGATTCTACGAGCAAACGGAATCGCTCCGAAGAAAAGTCGCCCGAAGGACGACCGGCCAGACCGTCAGGAGGGGAGACGGAGTATCACCGAAGGGATACCTAACGTTTCAAGTTATGCGGGTCAGCGAGTGGGCGTGCGAAGCCTCGAATGATGCAGACCGTATGGCCCCTCACAATCCGATGCTCATTTCCGAAGCGGCGGCCACGAAGCGTCAAGAACACGCCATGGCGCACAGACAAATCGCACGGAGAGTCTTTCATGGAATTTTCCTCCGCCTGCGTGCCATGCATGACATTCGAAGTAAGGGCTGCCCTCTCTCTAAGGCAGACCTTCTTCGCTTTTGTTCTCGTGCTGGCTTTTCTATCTTTAGGCTTTCCATTTTCCGGAAGCGTGCCATCCCAAATGTTTGTCCGCATTCACTCGGAGGCCTCTTCGTCAGGCTCATCGTGCTCGCCACGAATTAGCGGAATCGGTCATTCGGTTGACGATTCTCAGGACTCGAGCTTTTTCGCAGAGAGCGGGCGAGGCGTAGCGATATGGCTCGTAGACTAGACGGAGGGTTATTGTGAGAACAAACGAGTTCCCTGTACGAGGCCTAGTGTCAGCATTTCTTCGTGCTGTTCGGTATGCGGGGCTTGCTCAATCCATCCACACGATATAAGGGAGAGGTCTCCTCCGGGATACGTTGCGATGTTTTCTCGACACCGCGAATGCCCGCCCGGAAACTTCCGAGAACTCCATACGATGCACAAAGTATCTCTTTCGATGGAAGAGTCCCGGAACCTAATTGGAGGTCGAGGAACGCTCATGCGGATTTCTCATTATTTATCATTTATATTACTCACCCAGTCGATTCTAGGTGGCGGGCATGAAGTTGTGACAGGCTCCATGCATGCAGGTCCGTACATGCATTGGCCGCCGCACCACGAACATTGATATCGATTATCTCGAGTCAGACACAACGAGCAATCTTGACGATTCCCGTGCGAGCCGAGCAGGCCACATTTGTAGACGGTCACTGGAAAGAGAAATAGAAGTGAGAATCTCCGGGTCTGGGATTGACGGAAATTTTGATGTGCTCCTCTCGCTGCCGTCCTGGAAGCAAAAGTCTAATTTTCCCCTTGTCTAAGGGAACACAGCGGGAGAATCCCGATTGAACACTAGGCGGTCACAAAGAGAGTAGTCGAGCTCAGCGTCACTCGAGGAAAAACCGGGCACACAGGAAGAGATCATGGCGATAGGAGGCATCGCTGTATCCGGAGGTGTAATGTACCCGATGCACTCGGTAATAGACTCGATCGACGTGCCAACTTCTCCGGCCTCCGCATATCTTCGGTCATATTTCATCCGGCTTATGGGAAAACAATATCGTCCGTGTGAGTCGTCAGCGATACCCGGTACGTCTTGGCCCTGACTGTGATACAAGAGCATCCCCTCTTGCGGCAACGGACATTCTTCCTCCATCCGCACCGCTCTCAGACAGTGTGTTGGTCTTCCCCGAGCGCAAAATCCCCTCCACGGAGACCTCTTATTCGGCTCGAATTCCAGAACTGGCAAGGGCGTGATTGCGGGAATTTCCCTAGATTTTTCGCTTCTGGATAGCTGCCCAGACTTATTTCTCTATCCCTACTCGACGTCCACTCCGTTCTATGCTCTCAATACGAAATTCCGAATCGAGGCACCGGGGAGGATCCCTCCCAGACCACTGCACGTGTCTAGAGGATCCCAACGACGGATCCGTACGCGGTGATCAGAACGATACCGCGTTGATGCCCGATCGTGACTCATCAACGCGGATCTACGAACTTCGACCCAGAGCCACAGCAACAGGGGCAGTGATAGCTTAGTGCCGCTAACAAAAAGCATCCGATAGATAATAATATAGGAAAGAGAGGGAATGGAAATGCGGTGCGAGATATGTATTAACGGACGAGTCCATCGCACCGTGACACTTTTATAGTCAGGTCAATACATCAAGCTTTGGTTCTGGTGAGTTCCTACTGCGCGAGGGACCATTTAAGGGAGAAGGGGGAGAGGGAGGGAGGGCGGTAGATACGCAGGCCCGACACAGCGATGGGGATTATAGGAGACGGCACACTACATACGAGAGGGAGCGGAGTGCAGCCGTCGAGAGAAGGGATGCTCTCAATGAAAGTGAGAGACTTGGGAGAAATCCGGAGAGACTGACAAAGCGAGCTACTTCCATCAACCAGGTGACTTTTAGCGTGACGCGCAAAAGAGGCACGGATCGACAAAAAAAAACGCTCGGTGGTAGAGGTCGACATTTGGCTGATTGCTTTCCCACAGCGAGGATTAGAGCTATCTGTCTAAAATGGTCTTCTCACGCTCTTTTCTTTCTATTCCTCTCTTTCGGTTGCTCCCATTCCTGCGTGGCTGCCACCGCTAAAATATTATCAGCACCCTGCTTATCTACGAGTTGTAGTAGCGATGGTAGTATGCGTGCGAGTTCATGCATTATCTCGACCGGAACCTCGCGGGGGTCAACGAGCATCGTAAATTAAAGGATTTCGCCGGCAGCCAGTCCTTGAAGCTCAGGATTCACCCCGTCGAGCCGGCGAAGAACGCCATGACTACGTACATACGACTGACTACATTATGAGCTCGCATCGTGAATCGACGTCGAGAGACCGAACAGTACGAGACGAGTTTATGGCGGCGTCTCGGAATCCTCCCAGAAGTTTGCGATCGACTCGTGGTTCACGCTGTGTTTCTCGATCTTGTCTCCGATCCGGGGGGACAGAGCGATCCCCTCGACTCGTAATTGAAGCCTGTCTGTGTTGGGAAACTTACGATTAGTTTTGTCGATGAATATGTCCCCGTTCCACAGGACGGTCAGTAGACCCTCTATTTCCGGCTCTTCCGCATCGTAGTTGTAGCTGGATTCAGAGCAGATGATGACGTCATCCCGCTTCCGAGCCATGACCAATTGCCGTCTACCTTCGATCTCGATGATACATTGGAAACCCTCCTGGAAGTTCAATATGCCCCGTTAGACCTCAGTAGATAGAACTCATGCCCGCTAGAGGTACAGCTGCCTCGACTCATGGTCGAGTCCCGAATCAATCCGGCGCGCGGAGAGATATCGGAGACTGAATGTTCGCATCATTGCTGTGACTCCTGACCTTCGGAAAGCCCCCTCCGTAACGGTTCAGGAATTTCTTCTGTCGTGGACAAATAACCTGCAGGCGTTGCCATACGCCCTAGAGATCTCTTCGTCTCCGAACGATACTGCTCCGGAAATAGTGCGACCTAATAAACTAGTCTTCTTAGATCAGGATCGATATTTAGGAGCCTCGTTCTTGCTCTCATCGAAATTCCTCGATATGCATTCCTTGTTGCGCATCAACATGATCGACTCCCCCAGACATTCGTCGATGAAAGCAGCCTCGCTCGCATCGGGATAACAAGCATATCTCACAGAGAGCTTCACTGATTTGCATTTATGACCATGTGAGGAACTCGAGAACGAGAGCGAACGTATAGCAAGACGGGAATCGATACTGCGAGGGAAACGAGCCGAGGGTCGGGAACGAGCGACGGGTGTCTGAGCACACATTCCACAAGTGAGTCACAGCCTTGGAAGCCCTACGATTGGACAAGCCCTACGACGACAATATATTGAGACAGGACAACAGCACAAGGTGTGTCCTTCGCTGTGTGGACTTGCCGAACGACTCCTTTGCACGTCCATTACTTACTCTCGAGCAGCTCTAAATTGGAATGCGTTGCGCGGTTTCTCTCCCGCCCCTACCCCCACTCACTCGGCCTGAGCGAGGCTTAAGTTTCTCCAGCACACACTCGGGCTGTGGAGACACTCGTTTTGAACATCTGCCGCTCTCGGTGACAGCAGTGTCGGCAGGAGGTGTTAGCGAGCAAGCAAGCAATGCAAAAGCCCGTGATACATTTGCTCGATTGATTCTTGTTTATGGGTTGTGGCTCACGCTTTACGACTGACTACATGTCTACTGACGCAGGGACGGACGGACGGACGTACGGACAGACAGACGAGGGAACTGAGGAAACGAGGAGCTCTTTGCTATTGCCTAGTTGTACGCCGAAGAAAAAAACAGCTATTCGGCGAGTTCTCGGTCATGCCAATTGCAGAAGACGTATCCGTGGGTGAGATTGGCTCGTTTTCGAAGAATCGTTTCTCTCCTTGTCTAGTCATTCTGGAGCCCTGTCGAGAAATACATAAACAGACGGGTAGCGTTCACAGCGGAAAAGGGGCACGGGGAGAAATAAAATGAAAGTGAGGGATCCCGCTGTTTGCATAGCGTCTACCTATTGGCAAACAATTGTAGACCATTTATAGCACGGTGCAATTGGCCGTTCGAGCCCCGATCCTGAGTCCCCGTCCGCTCTCGTCCTCCTTCCGAGTACACGACAAGGCGTGCCGGAGGTTTTGTGGGGGTGATGTAAACGTTCTCGTCTTCTTGCAAATAAAAACAAATGTCGGGCTATATTGCGAGCAATTCCGCTTTGCTCCGTGGCAGTGGTGGTGGTAGTGACGGCGGCGGCGATGGTGTTGGGGTGGGCGCCGTTAGATGTTGAGGTAGAGAGCGCTCGCCCGCACCGAGCGCTAGACAGGAAAACGGCAGGGGAGTCGGGAACGGAAGGCGAGTCTTCGACTTCGGCTGTATTCTCGGCGACCCGACTCCCAGCGGACTTATCACCTCCCGCTATGAGGATTTGAGCTCCGGTTCGCGCCGCGAGCGAACTATTGATCTCAAAGTGAACGTTCCTTACTTCGCGCTTCGGGACATGACGTAATTCCGCCAATGCGAAAGACAGAAACGGAAGGACTCAGGGACGCCTCCCATTATATTGAACGAAACACGATCCAATTTAGCTAGTTCCTCACATCCTTGCGGTGTGGTTCGGTTGTGCACCGATATGTTTCTTCCAGAAAATGAGTTTCCGAGAAAGAGGAGCGCCAATGTTCGGCACACAACTGTCACAAGGGAGGAATTTACCAACAATGCGCAGCGATTCAAGTCTGCGAAAGATACGCGAAATTGGAGTCGACGTCGCTGTCATCGACGGCGGCTGCAGACCATTGGTCCTGGCGATGCAGGTGCCTTATCCCCTCGGAAGGATCCTCCTCGCTGGGGGATTCGTAATCAGGTTCCGTTTGAACGAGAAGAACGAAAACGAAGCCCTGGAGGAAATGAGCGGGAAATTTCGAACGTTATTTGTGACAGAACGCCGCTGTCGGCCACCGACCGACGTCGCCGTGCGTTTTCTTCCGAACGGATGGTTTCTGTGTTGACCGGCCGTTCAGCAGGCCGAACGTCCGGACCGCGAGGATCCTTTCCTTTAAGATAAACTTGCGTTCGGCGGCATCAACGGTCTGCCGGATCTGCGTTCGAGGTCGGTTGCCCACTCGCTTCTCTTCGGTGCTTTTTCACCCTGCGCAGCCGTACCTTGAGCTTGATACCGGCCATGGCGGCCTCGTCGGTTCCTTCTCCACGATAGCGTCAAATATATGGTATAGCATCAGAGCCGGCAGCTAACATCAACGGCAGCTGCGGGAACATCCAGGGAGCCCGCCAGTCCTTCTCGGGACACGGCTGAAGAAATGGATAAGCTAATATGTTGCCTTCATCGTTGTTCCCGCTGATGCTTGTTGCTCCGCTCCGTAGCATGAGTTACAATCCCGCGAGGAAGGGCCAAAAAAGTGCCTCCACACCGACGCGGCTTTGCCTTAGAATGACTCGGCAGATTCCGTGACCGTTCTGATATCAGGCGGATCCCAGACGCCGCTCGTTCTCCCGACCATGATTCCCAGTCAAGGAAGATTCACAGGATTGGACATTTGTGTTCTAACTTCTCGGCTTCGGGATTATGAACACCGACATCTGGACCCGAGCTCGCGAAAATCGAAGTCGCGAGATCTGACAATCTGCGGCGCTAGCTAGCGAGCCATCGCGCTGATGGTGAAATTCGCTCCTCACTGAGATGCTCTCGGAACCAAAATTGAGGATTCTCAGTTCTCTTCATTTCAAGGAGTTCCGAGGCGACATGAGCGGGAGGACTGATACCGATAATAATCCGCAAGCGGAAGATTCGCGGAGAAATTGTTTCTGCAATGGGCTCTGAGCGCTCCTTCAGTCCACCTCAATAAATGATGATAGAAGGCCGCAGTAGCATGGGCCTTTTCCTCGAGTACCATCGGAGAGATGGACTAGTTCCCCCGAACACCGCAATAATGGGTCGCTGAGCCCTGGTTCCCG